TCCTGAACACACCCCAGCAAGAAGGGAGAATCAAACTCTGTGTTGTTGGCACCAATGTGACTCTAGCCCCAAATGTCTAAATTGCACTGGCAGCATACACTTTTACATGTATATTGTGGTCCAGAGCAGTAGATAGAGATGGTAGAGGCTTCAACTTTCTTTCCATTGTGCAGCTGACCAGGTATTTGTGACACTATTAGCACTTGCTATGTCTGCATGTTAGAATGATTGTACAAGTTGGTTTCATATCTTTTTTTGTCCATATTATGAACACATCGTCCTTGGTTATCAAATCCTGAGAGCCTAGAGTTTCTGTCTCAGAGGCTCTAATCACTGCCCTAAAGTCCTTCCCTTGTATAGTCATTCAAACAATGAAAAGGGAGGTTAGAACAAAACAATTATGTGTGAGGTTTAGACTGTGGCATTCTCTGCTACAAACTAAAATAAAAATCTTTCAATCTTTTTCAGAAGGCAACGAAATAGTTAATGGATAGTAAAGAATATTAAAGACTATTGAGAACAAATTTGAAAGTGGGGTTAAACTGTGCTTCCCTCTCTAAGCACATTGTGGGTCTACCTACTGCAAATGGACCACAGCAGTTCAAAAAGGCAGCTCACCATCACCTTCTCAAGGGCAGGTAGGGAGGGGCAATAAATGCTGGCCAGCTAGTAATGCTCATACCTCACCAGTGATTTAAAAAAGTGGAGAAAAGCACCCATTTGGAGTGTCTCAGTTGAATTGTTCGTGATTTGATATTGTTAATTCTAAGCCTTTTCTCATTAAAACATATTTTATTAATCTGACTTTATTATAAACCAGATGAAATAATGTGAGAGAAATGGAGTGCAATGTAAACTTTTGAGCTGGAAAGCAAGACAATGATGAACTTCAACATTAAAAAAAAACACAACTGCGGTTGCTGTAAATCAGAAACAAATATTTCTGCAATTCCAGCAACTTCTGTTTTTGTTTCTAAACTTCAATATGTTGCGGTTGGGTTGAAGGCAAGTTTGAAGGCACCCTAAACTGCCCCAAAGTAGAAATTGAAAGTTTGCCAGATTTTCTCTGAACAACAACAGAAGTTGCTGGAAAATCTCAGCCAGTCTGGCAGCATCTGTGAAGAAAAGTCAGAGTTAATGTTTCGGGT